AGAAAATTATTTTTAGAAAATTGACACAAGCAGACCCATTGTTTCTCCGTATTTCTCGGCTAAACCATGTTTTATCAATTTTCCCTAATAACTAGGGTTTGCTACCGGAATTGTGTAACAGACAACCACAATTAACGACAATTTAGCCGTTAATTATCGTTATTTGTTTTGGGATTCCCATGGACTTTGTTCTTGTTTCAGCCATATGGGCTTTGGGCTAAGGCCCAACATGTAATTACACATTTTTTCAAGAGATTAAAGTTCTATTTGCTAGATAGTTACTAAACTAAATATAACAAGGTTAAATGGCATGAACTCTCATTTTTAAAGGATAAAATAGTTAAGTATTTGAGTTCCGATAGAAATAAAATAGATAGAAATAAAATAGAATATTGTTATGTTTGGGAACAACAAATAAGGCAATCAGAATTTGAAATTGGAAGAAATGTAATTCAAATTTTGTACTAAAAATTTTTCAATCCAAAATTTAAAACATTAATTAGATACTTCCAAACATAACATATGCGTATGTGAACTTAACTTTACGTGAATAAAACCATCTAAAAGTCTTAGAGATTTACCCTTATTAAATTTTCAAATGCCGCAACCAACCAAGGGACAGAAAATCAACAGGTTTCTCATGTTCGGTTGTCGGCTCAACAACTATTGAAATTTTTTATTCACCAACTACATGAAAGTCACTTTCATCAACCCCTAATAAAATCTTGCAGATATTGAGTGGGGCCTGACTTGAGGCTCGACAAACGTGGATTCACTTGCAAGAAAAGGAAAGGAAAGGAAAGGTTTGTGTTTGAGTTACTTTTTTAGAGGAGAAAAAAAAAAGCATTGGAAGAGATTTAAAGGATAAGAACCCCTTTAAATTAAAAAATTAAAAGAATACATTTGTTAGAATATGATAGTAATTTTGTTATTATTATTATTTTTTTACATTTGTTAGAATATGATAGTAATTTAGTTATTATTATTATTATTTTTAAAAAATACTATTATTATTATTATTATTATTATTATTATTTGTCATACTTTATTTAACTATGAATTCATGTTATTGCTATATTTTCTTTTCTTTTCGTAAAAAATTGTTATATTTTCTTTTATTTTCTAGTCATTTTATCCAAATAAAGCTTAAAGTGTTCAAACTATTAGAGACCATAATAAAAGGAGACACAAAAGAGCAATCAAACAAGCTAAAACAAAAATCAACCGCCATTGGAATGTTAACTGTTGAGGGCGAAATCCGCACCGTCCCGAGTTGCCGTCTTATTTATCGTCGCTTCCCTTATTCTTGATAAGGGAATTTCATCATCCTTATCCCATGGAACTTATCCCATGGAGATCTTATCCCATGGATATCTTATCCTTGATAAGCTTTGTCATTATTTTAATCCATGAAAATCGTTACCTCTAATAATGAAATATTATCATTGATTACCCAAAAGGTCTAGCGGCTGGTCAAAGTAGGTTAGGTTTATTTCTCCCTATCAGTTGCCCTCCATTTCCAAGCTTGCTCGTCTAACTTTGGGAATGTAGTAATAATAATAATAATAATATTTTTTTTTTGGCCCTTGAACAGTACATGAAACTTTTTTTTTTTTTTTTTTTTTTTTTTTTTTTTTTTTTCTTCTTACCCTGGAATATTACCCCTCCTGCGGGTACTGTTCACATGAATAGTACATGAAACTTTTTTTTTTTTTTTTCCTTGCCCTGGAATAGTATCCCGCGGGTACTGTTCACACGAACAGTACATGAAACTTTTTTTTTTTTTTTGCCCCCGGTAGTATTCCCGGGAACAATGCCACGGGTATCCTTCCCTTGAGTATTCTTCCCCTGGCACTATTTTTGGTACCCTTGGGTACTCTGCCACTGGGTACTACTTTTGGTATCCTTGGGTACTCTGCCCCGGGGTACTCTTTTGAATATCTCTGGGTAATCTTCTCCTGAATTGTACGAGCTTCACTCAGGTCGTCACTCCTTTAATAAGGGAATTAAACTTTACGAGTTTTACTCGTCCCTTTAATAAGGGATGTTTATTTATTATCTCTTATAGTATGGGGATATAAATTATGGGATTCATTCATCCCGGATTCTGGTAATACAAGACACTCATTTACTAACCGTTATAGTGCGGGGATATGGATTACGGGATTCATTCAGCCCGGATCCTTTTAATACATGACTTTATTTACTATCCCTTATAGTACGGGGATATTGATTACGGGATTCATTCAGCCTTGGTGTTGGTAATACAGGACACTCATTTACTATTCCTTATAGTACGGGGATATGGACTACGGGATTCATTCAGCCCGAATCCTTTTAATATAGAACTTTATTTACTATTCCTTATAGTACGGGGATATGGATTACGGGATTCATTCAGCCCGGATCCTTTTAATACAGGACTTTATGTACTATCCCTTATAGTACGGGGATATTGATTACGGGATTCATTCAGTCCGGGTCCTAGTAATATATGACACTCATTTACTATCCCTTATAGTACGGGGATATGGATTACGGGATTCATTCAGCCCGGATCCTTTTAATACAGAACTTTATTTACTGTCCATTGTAATACGGGAAGTAGTCGTCTCGTCCCTCTAGTAAATGAAGGAAGCTTTAATTATTTCACCCTTCTGTATATAAGGAGTAGTCGGTTTCTTGTCCCTTTAATAAGGGAAGAATATGTAGTTGGCCCTTTAAGGAGATAAATAGATTATCATGGGCTTAATATTACCACATAGGTAGTAGGGAACTGAAAATATAATATTTTATTGCGTAGAAATTGAGGGTTATCCACCTCATTGGTGATGGTGACTTTATTGGAAAATAAAAAAACATGTGAAATGATGAACTAAGATGCCCCCAGTCTTTATTTTGAATAACTTGATAAGGCTAATTCTAGCTATGAGGCAATTGTTAATCGGTATACTTATCTGAGTCCTCCTCACTATATGTCCTATCACTTTGGCTGAAGAATGACCTTTTATAACTGGTATCCTTCTCATCCCTGGTGAGAGGGGCTGACCTCTTCTTGTCCTTTCCTTCCTTTCCTTTCTGTGCATTCATAGCGTCTTCAGCGTTCATGTGTTTCTGCGCTCTGATCAACAACTCTGCCATGCTGGTGGGAGGTTCTTTGGATAGGGCAAACAAGAATATAGAGGTTTGGAGTCCTCTTATGAAAGCGATCAAGGCCACCTTGTCGTCCACCTCTTCTGCCTGCAACATCTCTGTGTTGAATCGGGTGATGTATTCCTGTATCAACTCGCCCTCCTGCTGCTTCACGGTAAGCAGGTAGGTGGCTGGCCTCCTATGCCTCTGACCTGCAATGAAGTGGCTCACAAATTGCTTACTCAGTTCTTCGAAGGTATTGATGGTTCCTGGCTTTAGCTTGTTGAACCAAACTTTTGCTGATCCCTTAAGTGTAGTGGGAAAAGCTCGGCACATAATTTCCTCTAGTACGGCGTATAAATACATAAGAGCTTGAAAGATTTTCAGGTGATCGAGGGGATCTTTGGTCCCATCGAAGCTTTCGAATGAGGGCATCCTGAACTTGCTAGGCAGTGGACATTTCATAACGGCAGGGCTGAACGGCAAGTGGGTCCTTTGTACCAGGTCATTTATGGCTGTAAGACCTTTCCTTTTCATAGCCTGCATTACACCCTCCATTTTCCCCTTGAGATCCTCGACCTGCAGGTCGAAATAGGTAACTTTATTTGTTTTTTCCTTAAGACAGAAAGCTGTGCCTTCTTGAGGTCGGGAATTTCGTGAGAGAGATGGGTGTACCACCTCTCTATGTCGGTTTCCCACCTGGCTTTGTTCCACTTCGGTCTCATTTTGGGAGGGGTGATTATCCTGCTTTGCAAGATTCCCATTCCTTCCGTTTGAATTTGAGAGATCTTGTCGTGGCAAGTTTTGTTGAACCGATGGAACAAGATGTTGCAGGAGCGTTACATTTTGCTGGATCAACCGGTCCATTCTCTGATTCAGAGTTTGGACCTGCAGTTCTAACGCTGTAAACCGTGTCTGGTTGTTTGGGACGTTTAGGTTTTCACCCGACTCTACCCTTTGACCAGATCCCTGCGACGGTGTTCCTTTGGTAACCATATCGAACCGCAAACATATATACCCAACCGAATAATTAATTGATTCAAGGGAATCGTCGTTCCCACAGACGGCGCCAACTGTTGAGGGTGAAATCCGCACGGTCCGATACGACACCGTTTACCTACAAGGGAAAGAGGAGAAAATCGATTAACCTTGACAGCACCGGTGTGGTGCCTGCCAAGAGCTCTTCGACGATCAAGTTAGTCACCGAAGGTCTAAAAAGGAAGGTAGGGATTTAATAATAGTTTTTTCGTCTTACCTTATTCCTGAGTCGTCGTCTTATTTATCGTCGCTTCCCTTATCATCACATGGAACTTATCCCATAGAGGTCTTATCCCATGGAGATCTTATCCTTGATAAGATTTGTCATTATTTTAATTCATGTAAATCGTTACCTCTAATAATGAAATATTATCATTGATTACCGAAGAAATCTGGCGGCTGATCAAAGTAGGTTATGTTTATTTTTCCTATCATTAACATTTCAAGAATGTCATCAATTGAATAGTTAGGTGATGCAAAAGCAATTGTTTCCTTTTTAAAATTATTAAAAATTAAGTGATCATTAATTTCGAAATATATACAGAGAGACTAATCACATGGGTGGTGTTTCTGCAATTGATACCTAAGTCATTAGCATGCGTAGTTTAATACGAATTATAAAGTTGCAGTAATTAATTCACAAGCACAAATAAAAAAGAAAATTAGATTGTATTAGTTTTAACTTTTTACTATTTTTAAATTGAGTGAAAAATGGGGATTCAAAAGAATAAAAAGTGTTCCTCTTTAAAATTGTCACGTGTTTAGACTCCTATGTAAACTATTGTTGTATTGAAAAGTAAAGACACACATCTTCTTAAAATTAATAGATATCTAGTGATTAATTATGGAGTCTCGAAGACACCTATATTTTTTAAATGCTTATATTTTTTAAATTAATAAATGTTTATAGAGTCCCGTAAATACTACCGTGCACAGTATATTTATCTTCATGGGAAAGATCAACCGAATTAATTTTCACCCCCACCCCAAAAAGAAAAGTAGGAAAAAAAAAAAAAAAATCCGAATTACCAAAATACCCCTGTATGAAACCTATATGTATATAAATGATTAGTTTGTTATTTTTGAGAAGGAAGAGAGGTCTGCATCTCTCGTCTTTTACTTGTTTTGGCGGTTTTACAGGGGAAGCCTTTGAAAGTTTCCGTGAGCTGAATCACACAAAGCGCTCAGTCGGAGCCAAGTCTTTGTCTCTCTAAAATCTCTAGACTCAAAAGCCAAATCTTCGTCCCTGTAGCTTTAAGCCTTGAGTGAATATGGAGAAGTATCTGAAAAACAACTTCGAAGTCGAACCAAAGAGACCCTCCGAAGAGACTCTGAGGAGATGGAGATCTGCTGTCTGGCTCGTCAAGAACCCTCGCCGGAGGTTCCGCATGGTCGCCGACCTCGCCAAGCGCGCCGAAGCCGTGCGTAAGCATAGGAAACTCCAGGTTTATATATATATATATATATATATACACACATACTTTTTTGATTAATCAATCATGCATGTACTCATATTTATCTGATGACGTCTATAGTTGTTTTCTTTTGTTGTTGTTTTTGTCAAGCTAGAGAACAAGACTCTAGTCTCGAATAAAGCTTAGATAAAGCTGACACATTTGTTTTGGTTAGCCTTGTATGGCGAGATACAAAAATTTGTTATTTAGACCTAATAGTTTAACCCAAAGCCCTAATTGAGATAATTCTATACCATAGATGAATTTGTCCTCGGATAAGGAGATGCCTAATAGTCTAACCGAAAGTCCTAATTGAGAGAATTCTATCCCATAGATGAGTTGGGTAATATCAAAGCATAAAATTCCTCAAAATGTAATTTTTAATGTTCATTAATATTTCCATATGAATGCACATGAATGTCTAATGTTATGGTTAGAAAGTCTTTATAACTTGTAGAGAGGGAGGCATTTCTCAGGAATGGTTAGAAAGTCTTTGGAGGCAATTGCCATGAAGTTATCTGCTAGAGACATGAACCAGAATAATGGGGAAGTTTTAAAAGTATCATATTAATTTTGGAAATGAAATCATAGATATACACGTTTGGAGCTGATTCAAACTACGTGTCCACCTTTTATATTGCATTTCAACAAATGATAGCTAGTGAAACAGAGATCATTACATGTGAAAATATGAAATTGAGACTCATTTGACAAGTCAAGGTCAAAGGGTGAATAAGGAAATACCATATTTAGAAGTCCATTTACATCACAATTACTAATTAGACAAAAAATGGAATTGTGATGTTTGGATCTTGGGTAGCGATGGAGATATTTAAATAGGTAAATTAACGCTCGTTGTATGCTCCGGATGATAGATTATAACGAGCCATATTTGGTATTCAGGTGAAGAATCGATGTAGGCCCCGAATGATAGATTAATACGTACCATAACGGCATTCAGGTTTGAAAGAGCTAGCAGCCTTTGAATGAGATTGTACATTGGGACCACAAAATTGAAAAACATCTTTGTGATATACTTTCTGTAAAGAAAACCTTTTTCTCCCTCTTTATGGGGCATATGTGGATTATGATTTGATATTCACTCTAAATCATTTTCTTCAAATGAACCAAGATCACTAATTGAATGCACATGTGATTTGTTCAAACATATTTTATAGGTGGTAGGATTGCCGTTATTAGACTAATTATAGTCTAATTTAACATGTATTAAAGATTTTGTTGAGCTAATGAGGGTGACGAGCAGCCGTAGTATTGTTTTTAGTTTTTAGTTTTTAGTTTGAGATCAATGTCTTTTTAGTATTGCATTTTGCTTGAAATTTTAAATTTGTCACACTTGACTCTATTTAAGTTATCAATCTGTTTAACTATTTCAGTTTATTTTGATATACATTTGGATGAATCTTCGGTTGTACAACCCTTCTTTTTTTATTTTCCATTTAATTCACTATACTTCTCATAAATTCCTAATACTTGTCTTTTAGTCAATATAGCAAACATTATAAATACCCTTTGTAATTTTTTTTTTTGTAGGGACTTCTATATTAATAGTTTTGAACTTTTGTTGTTGTATCTTTTTTGGTAATTTTTTTGACGATTGAATAATTATTTAAAAATATTTTTGAATATTTCTCAACTTTAGCTGGAAAAAAAATAATGAAAGCGTGGGATTATAGAATTAGTAAAGGTGAAAATAATGATGTGAACATATCGCATTTAGATTTTTCTTTTTATTATCATATAATTGTGTTTAGTCACCCTCGTCGAGGTCCACCTGTTATGGACCTGCCATAAATAAGCACACGTGGCTATGGGTGGCCCAGCCACGCCAATATCCCATGTGGCAGCCCACGAAATGTTCATTAAGCTGTGGAACTCATACTGCGAGAACTTGTTTTAAAAATTCCTCGTTCCTTCCTTCGTTAGTCACGTGAGTGCCCCGCTCCAGTGGAATGGGTCCTCCTGTGCACTTGCGATCGAGCCTTCCTCCCTACGGATAACCGTGGCTAAATCACGACTATCATAACTGATGCACCCGCAAGCAACCTCTTGGAAGGGGAGAGCTCGAGCAGCTGCGGAGGAGGGAGGCTTAGGACTAAGGAAGGCAAGTCATAAGCAATTCCTTCTCCTCCTTTCTGGATTATGGGAATCTGAGAAATAGTAGAAGGGAGGCTGAGATTTGAGGAATCATCTCACCATGAATGACGAGGCTCATTCCCGACGGAAAGTCGAGGGACTACCCTGCCATGAGATCTATACTAAGGGGGAGAGGAATGCTTAGTACCCAAGGTTGAGTTCCATCCATAGAAAGGTTAGATGGTGCCAGGGGCGGAGCCAGGAATTTGTTTCAGGGGGTGCCTTAGTAAAGATGATAAATTATATTTTTTTCAACCAAATAGTAATGCAAGACAATAAGTCAAAAAATAGAACAGTAATAATGGTAGAATAATAGTATTTAATAATTTGAAAAATAATTATTTAAAAAAAATAAAAATATAAAATATACCTTAAGAGTCCTGTTAGTAACAAATTTAATTACTAAACTTTGAAGAGAAAAAAAAAAAAAATTGAATAAAGGAATGCAACTTTTTTTTTTTTTAAGAGAATATAAAGAAGAAGAAGAAGAAGAGGAGGAGTAAGAATGAAAAGAAAGGAAAAATTAAAGATATTTAAAAAATATAATTATTTTAGTGGGCATTTTTGTAAAATTTTATAAATTATAGGCCTATTTGTAATAAGAATTAATTGGCCTAAGGGTAAATAATTATTTCAGTGGGGCATTTTACACTTTTTTATAAATTATTGGCCTATGTGTAATAAAAATTAATGGCCAATTTTTTTGAAAAAAATTATTTTAGGGGGATATTTTGAAAACTTTTATAAATTATAGGCTATTTTGTAATTAAAACTAATGGGGCAGCATGGGCCCAGGGGAGGCATGGGCCCCCCGGGCCTATGCTAGTTTAGCCCTTGGATGGTGCAGTAAATGCACCAACCCATTGACAAAACTTGCATTAAATACAGGCTACCGTCACCACCTCGATCAGAGGTCCGAGGCTTTTCTTGGACCATCTGCTGATGTCCCATTTACCAAAAAGGATCATTAGAGGAACCATCCATTAAAAGGGAATGCACCCCAGTGACCCAGGGTCTTTACCCAGTTAGAAAGGTACGTAGTATAAATAGGAGCAGTAATTGACCATTAGAGGAAAGCAATAACCCACGAGAGTTCGAGCTATCCGGGTACTAAGCAACTGCCTTTTCTCTCTTAATGTCTCTCAAGGGAAAATTGCTCGTGTAGCACGGATCTCCACTCAGACACTGATCTTATCTTTCTTGACACATGTAAAACGATCTTCACACTTTTCCAAGAACCACATCAACAAATTGTTAAAAAAAGAAAGAGCTATTTCATTTATTTGTGTGTGAGAAATTGTGAATAGTGCAAATGAAGAACGTGGGATCACAGAATCTACTAATAGTTTTGTTGAAAGTAGAAGTAAAACATAAAGTAACTTTGACTTTGCTGATAGAAATAAGACTCATTATATATATAGTTTCTTGAAAGGTGTTGAGATTCATTATGTTTTTAGTACCAAATACCAGTGTTTGAGGCCCTCCCCAATAGGAAGTGGATCCTCTCCTGTTGGAGGGGTTTTGTGCACTAAAACTATGTTGATTTGGTGCATAATAGGGAGCCTAAACTGGGTTCACACGGAGCCTCAACGCTGAATTCGTGTTGAGCTTTATGCTTTTACACCAAAACGACATAGTTTGACGTGCAAGACCCTCCAAACAATCCACTTCCCTTTATTGAGGACCTAAAGGCTGGTATTTGATACCAACAATATAATGAATCTCAATACCTTTCAATATATATATATAATGGGTCTCATTCTTATATGAACGAGTGGATGATATAAGAGGAAGATGGGTGGGACATAAGCTTTGCAAAAATATCATTAAAAGAATAAAACATGGGGGGATCCCCAATACTCAAACAGTTTGATGTTTGATTATTTTGTACTTATAATTACAGTGGCGTTTTTGCTCTGTGATTGACTATAGATTCGAGGCAAAGTTCAATTTTGATATACGTGTATAATACATGTACATATGTATAAATAAATAATACTTGCTGTACAAATTTCAAACTTAACAATTAATACTTGTACTTTTTAGTAGAATCGTGTAATGCATATGTTAAACATTTTGCATATCATACACCGTGAAAAATACTTACTGTTTTTGTAAAAAGTTTTCATCGCCCTTTAACATATCATAGAGACAGAATTATGAAATTTGAATATCGTACACAATTATGGTGATATAACTCGTAACTTTTCTTATTATTTTATTATCTCTTTCAACTAGAAAGTTAATAATTTTATGTCTCACCAGGTGTATCCAGATATTTTCTTAAATGTTGTAATAAATTAATTCAATTATATAATTATACTTACTTTTTATTCAAACTATATACTAAGATTTGAATAGAAAGTAAAAGGGATATCTACACAATTAATTACTATGCAAACACAATTAATTATAATATAAATTGTAACATATATACACAACATATAATTTATAAATATATCCGTATTTTTTATCACTACTTATTTATTTATTTATTTATTGATATTTATACCCGTGTACATATGCGTAGTTTCTTCGCTGAAACTTCAGTTCAATTATTTGGATGAGAAAGGAGATGTGATGATGATTAGTGAGTATGAAAAAGGAATGGTGGTAAAATATCACAATTCACAAAGCCTTGTCCTCTACATAAATCTATCTTCTTCTTCTTCATTTTTATTTTTATTTTTATTTTATTTTTACTTTTCTTCTTTCTTTTGCTTTTGAGTGAGGTCAGTTGTCCCTATCTTTAATTTTGCTATGTTTTATAGAAGTCACTTTTTATGATCATCACAATTAGGAAGTCAATTGACCACCTACCTAATCAGTTGCATAATTTCCCTCTGATCATTCTGTTTTTTTTTTTTGTGTCTGCCTGACACCATTATTGAATTATTTCACCACATTCATGGTGTTTGAAAGAAGGCATCAAAGAAGTCAAATAGCACCAAACAGAGCCCAATGATATCAGTAAATCCATTCTCCACTTTAATCTTTATCTTTTATTGTTTTGTTAGGGAATGGCTTGTAGTTCTTCTAATTTTGGCAAGTAGACAAAAATTTAATTACTGAGTCAATTATAAATTATTACACATTTGATTTCACCATTAAGATTAGAAACTTTCTTGAAATGTTGTTAGACCACAGAGTTTTTATTGTGTATGACAGCTGTTTGATTAATTTTGATTGATGTTCCATGTTGGTTCAACCAGCTGAAAGGTGACTTCAATATCATTATAAAGATTATAAAATAGTATCAAGGGCTACCAGAGAATCAGGATAACAATACAAAAACACTCTTTATCAAAAGTGTTTTTTTTTTTTTTTTTCTTAACTAATCTTGACAACGGTTGGACTCTGCTAAACATATTTTGTTTTCAAATTTTTTGAAATGAGAAGCGTTGCCAAACATGTTATATATATGTTTCAACTTCTAAAATTTTCACTGCAAATTTGTGTTGCCAAACATATTTCTGTTTTCAACCCAAAACACCCTACAACAAAACACTTGTTTTGTTCTGGAATAAATCAAAACGCCAAAAACACCACTTGTACCAAGTAGGCACTTACTACCTTGGACTGTAACTGAGTACTTTATATTAATTTATTTTCATTTATAAAGTTAATAGTTATGACCATAAATTGTGTATGAAAAGGGTACCTTGTTGGTAGCTAATTTGTGTTGGCCTCACGATTGATCCAGAGGATAAAGATCTAGAACCTCGGATGTGCTTTTTACACATGATACACATGATCAAACAGCTTCCCTTGCTATATTACATGTTCCTAGTAAAATTACTGTTTGAACCATAAATTGAAAAGATAGAACTTTAAAATTTTCAATCCAAGTTGTATTGATTTGTTCTTTTGGAAGTTGATAAAGACCAGATGAAAACTTGCATACTGGTTTGATCTCTCAATTTCTATTTCTTCATTTCAATTCCTTTATTTTATTTTATTTTTATTTTTATTTTTTATTTTTTATCTTCGCATACAGTTTTGTTTTTGTCCTTCAAAATTGTAATTTTTTTTTTTTTTTTTTTTTTTTTTTTTCAAGTATATCAAAAATTGCATGACAATATGAAAATCAATTTGATCATAAAATGGTCAGCCACTCAGAGGACACCGGTCCCAGCTACCTGGTCATGGCAATGTCAGCTTGATGCTTCTGACAACTCCCAATTCTGCTACCGTCTGTTGAATACATGAGTTTGATTAGCCTGACATTGTCATTATATTGTTGTCCAGGAAAAAATAAGAGTGGCTTTGTATGTTCAGAAAGCAGCATTTCATTTCATTGACGGTAAGACTTTTCATTAAATCATCCCCATTTGTTCATCTAAACTTCGTCTTCCTTCTCAAATTCATGTTCTTATTTAGTACAGCCGGTACAGCCAGTACTCATGTTCCGCAAAAGGTCTCTCAGGAGGTTACGCGAGCTGGTTTCAGCATTGAACCGGATGATCTAGCCTCTGTTGTCCGTTCTCATGATATCAAGACCCTGCAACGCCATGGAGGCGTCGAAGGATATGCAAGAGAAGTGTCTGTAGCACTGGAAAATGGTGTTCTTTCGAGTGATGTACCCCTTCGACAGAAACTCTACGGCTTCAATCAATTCGCTGAGAAACCTTCTAGACCTTTTTGGATGTTCATATGGGACGCCTTACAAGACTTGACTCTAATCGTCCTCATCGTATGCGGTGTGATCTCTGTAGGTGTTGGACTTGCCACAGAAGGATGGCCAAAAGGTATGTATGATGGGTTAGGAATATTACTATGTATTATCCTAGTGGTGATGGTTACTGCAATCAGTGACTACAAGCAGTCCTTGCAATTCAAGGATTTAGACAAGGAAAAGAAAAACATAATTCTTCAGGTCACTAGAGATGGGAGCAGGCAGAAGGTGTCCATTTATGATTTGGTGGTCGGAGACATTGTTCACCTGTCGATTGGAGATGTAGTTCCAGCAGATGGGCTATTCATATCGGGTTTTAGTTTAGTAATTGATGAATCAAGCTTGTCGGGTGAGAGTGAACCGGTGAATGTAGACAAAGACAGACCTTTTCTTTTATCAGGGACCAAAGTTCAAGATGGCTCTGCTAAAATGCTGGTTACAGCAGTTGGAATGAGGACCGAATGGGGAAGATTGATGGTAACTCTGAGCGAGGGAGGAGAAGATGAGACACCGCTGCAAGTGAAGCTTAACGGAGTAGCAACTATAATAGGGAAGATTGGTTTGGCTTTCGCTGTGCTGACGTTTTTGGTACTCACTACACGGTTTCTAGTAGTGAAGGCACTTCACAATGAGATTGCGATATGGTCCACAAGTGATGCGCTGAGGCTTCTGAATTTCTTTGCCATTGCAGTGACTATACTCGTAGTTGCAGTACCGGAAGGGCTACCATTAGCCGTGACACTAAGTCTTGCGTTTGCAATGAAGAAATTGATGAACGATAAGGCACTTGTGAGACATCTCTCTGCATGTGAGACAATGGGTTCCGCTACTTGCATTTGCACAGACAAGACGGGAACTCTGACAACAAATCATATGGTTGTCACTAAAATATGGATCACCGGAGAAGCTAAAGAGATAAAAGGTAACGACAATGGAGATACATTGAAGTCTTCTATCTCAGAAAGTGTATTGAGCATACTTTTGCAGTCTATATTTCAAAACACTAGCTCCGAGGTGGTGAAAGGTAAGGATGGAAAGACTAACATATTGGGTACTCCTACTGAATCCGCATTATTAGAGTTCGGATTGCTTTTTGGGGGTGATTTTGGTGCTCACACAAAGGACTTTAACATAGTGAAAATGGAGCCTTTCAATTCGATCAAGAAAAAGATGTCTGTGCTCGTGGCTGTTCCAGGTGGTGGGCATCGAGCATTCTGCAAAGGCGCATCAGAAATCATTTTATGTATGTGTGACAACATTGTTAATAGCAATGGCGAATGCGTGCCTCTCTCTGACGAACAGAGGAAAAACATCACAGATGTCATAAATGGTTTTGCCTGTGAAGCTCTAAGAACTCTCTGCCTGGCTTTCAAGGATATAGAAAATACTTCTAACGCAGATAGTATTCCTGATGATAAGTACACACTAATAGCAGTTGTTGGAATTAAGGATCCGGTTCGCCCTGGGGTAAGGGAAGCTGTTCAGACTTGTTTAGATGCTGGGATTATCGTGCGGATGGTCACTGGTGACAATATTAACACTGCCAAAGCCATAGCTAAAGAATGTGGCATCTTGACCGATGATGGTCTGGCCATAGAAGGGCCAGACTTCCGTAACAAAAGTACCCATGAGATGGGACAGATTTTACCGAAACTTCAGGTTCAACAATACCTTCGTAAGTATATTTGTAATGGTGATTGGATGTATGTTTCTAAATGCTTGGATTACCTTTGAACCGTGCAGGTGATGGCTCGATCATTACCTTTGGATAAACACAAGCTGGTAACCCTGTTGAGAAACGAGTTTAAAGAAGTCGTGGCAGTGACTGGTGATGGGACCAATGATGCTCCTGCTTTGCATGAGGCAGATATTGGACTAGCTATGGGTATTGCAGGAACAGAGGTTTGTTTTACATTTTAGTCATATATTCCTGAGAATCCTTACAATCGATACTTCAATTGCTGCTCTCTGTCTGTTATGTCCATGAGAAGGCACTATTGAGATCTCTCTAACATGATTCAAGAAAATGTCCCATGAGTTCTATTAGATGACCTTAGGAGTGACGAAAATATATTTTGTTTTCCTATCTATGACTCTCTCTTTTCTTCATCCATGGACAGATTGCTTATATTCTGTTTGATCTCTCAGTCTTGATTGGCTGCAATTCTTTCAAGATGCTTAAAATCATGTTTGATACTATATTTATATGCTCTTCATTCATATATCTGTGTTTGACGCCAACACTCGCGTCAATATCCATCTAATAAAAGCAAGGAGGAAATTTTTTAGTTTTAAGGTTCCATGACACAAGACTAAAACATAATTCTTGTTTTTGTTGTGGAATACATATTGAGAGGCATTGCTTCATGCATTTTTAATGTCATGATGGTCAAATATTACCTACAGGTCGCGAAAGAAAATGCTGATGTCGTCATATTGGATGATAACTTCACAACCATATTGAATGTTGCTAAATGGGGTCGCTCAGTTTACATCAACATTCAGAAGTTTGTGCAGTTCCAGTTGACAGTTAACGTCGTTGCTCTCATGATCAATTTTGTATCCGCCTGCTCCTCAGGTACGTTCATTCATGGACTGACTCACCACTATAAAGATTCATCTATTAGGCTGTGTCCTCTGTTTCAAACAAAATCGAAGACTTGCATTGTTCTATTTTGGATGGCTAACAAACTTTGGAAGCAAATTTTCAGGGTCTGCTCCTCTTACGACTGTTCAGTTGCTTTGGGTGAACATGATAATGGACACTCTCGGTGCATTAGCACTGGCTACAGAACCTCCACATGATGGGCTGATGAAAAGGCCGCCTATTGGAAGGAATGTTAATTTTATAACTAAGGTCATGTGGAGGAACATTATCGGTCAGAGTATTTTTCAATTGGCTGTCCTAGGGGTTTTCGAATTTGACGGCAAGCGGCTTCTAAAGCTCAGCGGTTCAGATGCTACTTCTATTCTCAATACATTCATATTCAATACCTTCGTGTTTTGCCAGGTACCATCTACTCACTGCTGCTAAATTCTCTCTTTTATAGCATAAAACTGTTTCTTACTATTGCTTTGAATAATCCACAACTGATATTTGCCAAAGCAATTCGCGTTACCTCATATTTTCATGTATACTTAAAAAAACGATTCATTGAATAGTTATAGTTGTGGCCCTTTTATTAAGCCACGTGTCCAACTTTGATTGATTTTTAGTCAAAGTGATTTCCCCCTGAACGTCGTAGTACCTCTTCCATTGGAATCGACCAGGGCAGCCTTCCACTGAAAAGTGGCTGATAATTATGGTGTAAACACTTAAAAAAAAAAAGATTCATTGAATCGAGAAAATGGAGGGAAGTGGTAAAAAAAATTAACATGTTCAATTGTTCATAAAGCCAAAAACACATCTTTTTAAGGTTGGTTCAGATTACCAATGTTTTTGAGCATGAACTTTAGTGTCTGAAAACCATAATAGCTTTGAAACACCGACTAAAGATTTCTTTGAATTGTTTTTGATATGGCAGGTTTTCAACGAAATAAACAGCCGCGATATGGAGAAGATAAATATATTTCGAGGGATGTTCAGCAGCAGCTTATTCATGCTCATCATCATCTCCACGGTGGCTTTCCAAATCATAATAGTCGAATTTTTGGGCGCTTTTGCAGATACTGTACCGCTAAGCTGGGAGTTGTGGCTACTCAGCATACTAATTGGGGCTGTAAGCTTAATTGTCGCGGTCATCCTCAAGTGCATCCCCGTTGGAAAGCCCTCTGAACATACAGACACTGTCAAGCACCACGATGGTTATGAATCGCTGCCTAGTGGTCCGGACATGGCCTGAGAATGGGATTAAAATTTTTCCCTGGGCCTGCTTAATGCTGCTCAATAGCAGTTCCAAATCACATTTGAACCACTTCACCGATTGCTATAACATATATATATATTTATTTATATATATATATTGTATTGAATAGATATAGATAAGGGTTATTTTTTTTCTTTTTTTTTTAATGGTTATTTTGATGCAGCTTGAGCATTGTTCATTCATTTATTAGAGTTGGCTGGAATTGTAAGTTTGATGTAGGAACTAGAGTGATTAATTCACACCATTTTTTTGTGAACTTTGTGAGCTGTTGCTTTTTTATGCATTGTGATTTCATAGTTATCTGCCTTCAACAAAAGGAGTGCTTGTGATCTAATTTGGCAAACCCCTGTAATTTTATTTTATTTTATTTATTTATTTTTTGAAAGTAAGTGTCAAACACTCAACTTTCTCTTTGAATAAAAAGATTATACTATCTGAACTAATGTCTATAATGTTGTGAATTGACTCTTTATTGAAAGTGCTATTCTTTGAAAATTAATGACATGTAGAAGAAATATGTACTTAAAACTTTCAGATTATCGTAGTCATTTATTTATTTATTTATTAAGTGTTCTCTCAACTTTGTGTTCTATAGTTTACTCATTGATAACCTAGACCTTGTTTTTTGGGGTGGGGGAGGGGGGGTTATTTATTTATTTATATTTTATTATTAAAGCAATCCTATCATAATTCAAAAACAGTAATATAGCTTGTTACTGCTATTAATCAAGTTCTTTAATGTATAGTTAAGGGAAATTTAAATAATGACTACTTATACTTACAAAAATGACCGTATTCAAATAATATATCGGTGTAAGAGCTACTAAACTAAAATAATTATCAAATAAGAAATTATATCTTTTTTTTTTGTCCAAATTACCCTCATTACTTTTTAATTTTCCATCCATCTCCTTTTTATTTATTTATTATTATTAAAGCAATCCTATCATAATTCAAAAACAGTAATATAACTTGTTACTGCTATTAATCATGTTCTTTAACGTATAGTTAAGGGAAATATAACTTGTTACTGCTATTAATCATGTTCTTTAACGTATAGTTAAGGGAAATTTAAATAATGACTACTTATACTTACAAAAATGATCGTATTCAAATATTATATCCGTGTAAGAGCTACTAAACTAAAATAATTATCAAATAAGAAATTATACCTTTTTTTTTTTTTTTTTTTGTCCAAATTACCCTCATTACTTTTTAATTTTCCATCCATCCCCTTTCTCTTTCTACTACAACCATCACCAATACCCATCATCACCACCACCACCACCACCCACCTCCATCACTGCCACCAATACCCACCATCACCACCACACCTCCACCCACCTCCATCCCCACCATCCACCGCTGTAATGATTCCAATTTCTGGAATTTTTCGTTTTTGTAAGGACATTTTTGTTTTTTTCCGTTTTGCGTACTAGACACCGTAAGATATGCTGGGTGTGTCTGAGAGTTAGTCGGGATATTTCCTTAAGTTCAGGATTCTTGGGAATGCACCGGTTGCCATTTCGGCATTTTTCCAATTTTTTGGCCGAACGGTCTCGTGTGAGACCCGCTATCGGGAGTTGTGTCTCAGGTCATTTACATGCCATGCATAATTATTTTGTGTATATTTAATGTGGTTATGTGCTATTTTATATGGTTGTGTGCATATATGTATAAATTGTGGTAGAAAATTAAATGAAAAAGATTAACATTTATTTGTGGCGGGACCCACCACTAACATTTATTTGTGGCTTAGAGACCAATTTGGTCTCATTTCTTCTCTCTCCACTTAATCCCTCTCTTCCTCTAGGGGTGCACAAAAAAACCGGAACCGTGGAACCGGAACCGGAACCGTTGGAACCAGAACCGTTTTTCACGGTTTTCACGGTTCTGGTTCCGACTTTAGGAACTGTGTACATACGGTTCCGGTTCCAGCCCGTGGGAACGGTAAGAACCGGAAACGTATGTGTGTATATATATATATACCTATTTTTTTTTAGTTTTTTGCCCTAATTTGAGCCTCAGCCTCCCCAGTCGCCTCTAATCTCTATCTCTATTCTCTCGACTATGAACTTGCCCTCTCTCTTTCTGCAACTGTAAGTCTGTAAACTACAAAATCTAGTGGTTTGAGAGATGATACTGATAGATCAGCTCTTGGGTGCGAGGCTCCTTCATTTAATGAGGTGGAAGATTCAAGATTATGCAGTAGAGATGAAAAGCTGGGATTAGTAATTTAGTACAGATGTACCAAGCTCATCTCTTTCCGATGTCGAAACCTAACCCGTCTGAAGCTTTGTGCTTGCCGAGAGTTAACCGACGCCGGCATGTTGGTCAATTGAGGACATCATTATCCGACACTCCTTATCTCCCCGACTACATCTCCAACCTTCCCGACGAGTGCTTAGCTTGTATATTCCAGTTGCTTGGCTCCGGTAATTAGAAACGATGCTCTCTCGTCTGTCGTCGGTGGTTTCTGATTGAGGGACAGAGCCGTCACCGTCTCTCTCTCAACGCTCAAGCCGATCTGCTCTCGGTGGTTTCGTTTCTGTTTTCGAGGTTCGATGCGGTGACTAAACTCTCTCTGAAATGTGATCGTAGATCTACGAGCATCGGCGACGAAGCTCTCAAGCTCATCTCTTTCCGATGTTGAAACCTAACGGTCCTAACCTATCTGAAGCTCCGTGCTTGCCTGAGAGTTAACGGTTCCATGCTATACAGTTTTCAAGGAACCGTCGTGAACGGTTCCAGTTCCAGTTCCAGTCGAAACCGTGAGAACCAGAACCGTGTGCACCCCTATCTTCCTCTCATTTTTCTTCTCTTTTTCTTTTTCTTTTGATCTTAAACTTCAAGTTTCAATTATTTCTTCAATTCTTGGAATTTTTGGGTGCTGTTTGTGGCAAATCAGAGAGCACGGCGAGATCTACGCGTTGATATAAGTAATTCCTTGTTTGGTGCACTCTAGGGATTTCGAATTTAGGACCCATTTTGGGGGGTTTTTGCATCTTAAGAGGTAGGGGTCTATCATCCATGTATTCTTGTGCTTTTGTGAATTAATTCTATGTAATTTGTTGTCAAGCATGCTTAATTCATATTGATTATTCTTAAAATGATTTAAATGTGGCATATGAAGTTCATGACTATGTGTAGTAGTTGATTTATATGAAAAACATGCTTAATTGATAATATTCTATGCCTATTACGTTTAGAATTTGCCAAATTTCATGATGTGAGAGCATGATATATCCTTTGGGAGTTCTTGTAAAATTATGCTATGTTACTTGAACTTAAATTGGATGTATGATAGTGGTCATTGACATGACATAGAAAAGCATGATGCATTCATGCATAGCATTGGGCAAGGAAAAATGGGAAAGAATTGTTTTGAAATGAAAAGGGGTTTTGGGAAAGATTTTTTTTTTGTAAGTGGTTTTGTGAAAACCCAGACGCCGAGGAGGTACCGAGGATCCATGGCGTTAATATGACCTAGAGGGAACTAGGGAAATCACCCTAGCGTGGTTGAGTCATCTGGCCCTAAATGACGTTGCAGGGTACTAAGGGTCAGGGACAGTAGTCAATCGTCTCATGTCGCCGAGGAGTCACTGAGGGACGGGTTATGTTAACGGTTTAAAAAGTAGTGGATTGGATTTTGGAAAAAAAAAAAATAGGGAGCGACATACATGGCTTTGCATCTCATGGCATGAATTTTGTTTCATTATGACTTGAACTTGTATCGTATTTTTCCCCGGCATAGCATGATTCTGTTGCCTTTATTTCTATTAATTGTTTAGATTCACGGGGTCACAAGAGGTGTGTCTTAGGCACCACCTATTGAGTAATTTTGCTCACCCCTTATTATTAACATTTTTCAGGATACGAAAAGGAAGTGGCGAACGATGCTCCTCCATAGGTTTTGCTGGGTTAGTCGACTGTTTTGACATACTTTGTAGCTATGATCTCATTTTATTATTATTATTTATTCATTTTTATAAACCCTGGAATGACACGTATATTATGTATTGACATAAGAAAGGACGGTAGTGCCCTTAGTTGATATCGGGTTCGGGTAAGCACCCAATTAGTGATTCGGACCCTTGTGTTCGGGTCGTTACAACCACCACTACCGCCACTAACCACCCAACCCCAACTTCAACTCCACCACTCCAATCACCCACCAACATGGCGAATCCATGAATTGTCAATGGGGCTAATATTAAACATAAATTTAATAACGCAATTTCATAAGCATTTTTTATTTATTTATTTATTTTTATATATAACATAATCTAGATAAATATTTGAAAGATGAATCTTTAACATAAATTGAGTGAATCTTAATGGGGATTGAAAGATGAAATAGTTGGAAAAAATTTGTTTAGGGCTTGTTTGCTTTGGTTTGGGCCTTTGTTTTAAAATTGTGACTTAGATATTGGGTTTGTTTGGATGGGTTAATATTTGGAGGGCTAATACTATTACTAATTTGTATTTTTTATTTTATTTTTTGGGGAGGGCTCAAGCTCACCCAAGCCCCCCTTCTATCCGCCACATCACCACCACCCACCAAAAAGATTACTTCTGGTTCGTCGACCGGTAATGGAGTTTTCCTGTGAGGAAGAAGCAAATGACAACGACACCAATGAGAAAGACCTGGCTGCTCAATTGTTACCCACCTGCTGCCTCCCTCCCTTCTTCATGAACCAAAAAATCATTTCTTTCGGACTCCAATTTTTTCATATCCGGACAATGTTTGGTGAACATGGACAACAATTTCCCTTATTTTCTCACAAAAAACCCAAAAATCAGGGTGTCTAACATATATGGTGGTGGTGGGCGGTGGTGATGGTGGCAGCCCCACCTTCCTGCCCTGTCATTGCTTCAAAACCGACCCCATCTGCGGCGTTGACAGCGTCACCTAATAGTGCAGGTATGACGACATCATTTATGCCAGCACTCGTGTCGCCAAGTTAGGGGTATGTAATACCCCTAATTTTAAAAGGCTATTCCTGGAATTTAATTTATGGTTTATTTGCATTTTATTTGCTTATTTGCGTAATAGTTTTATTTAATTATTTGCTTAATGGTTTATTCGTTTAATTAGTCATGTTATGTAATTATTTTGCTTAGATTGTTTTTGGTAATTGTTTATTAAATTATTTTTTATTTAATTGTGTTTGCTTAATTGTTTAATCGTTGTTATTTAATGGAAATTTAAATTTAATGGAATTTAGTTTTTCTGACTTACGTGAATTTAGGTTTGCAATTCACATGGGTGGCCGACGTAGGTATATATATCATAGGTTGGTTTATGGGCCAACAAGGATTAGGATTAGGGCTCTGTCTCTACAGTTACAGGGAATTAGAATTTATTTTACGTCCCTATATATATAGAACAGTGTGTGGATTTAGGGTTTTGAGTATACGAGAGCTTTGTTTACGTCTTAAGTTTACAGAGTGAAAACAGAGAGGGGTTTTTGTAAGATCAGAGCATTTTAGGGTCTGTCAAGGGATGAATAGAGAGAACCAAGGAGGTGTGGTGGT